GACGTCAGCGACGGATCCGGGCTGGCGAGAGTCGGCGGAAGCTGTTGGGGGAAGTTGCGCTAATGATGTGAGCCCAGTGAGCCGATATCGACGTCCTGCTGGATCCCTATTTCCTTCACCTGCCGATAAAACAGGATCGGGTGCGTTGGTATCCCGGATCGGTCTCCCGGGCGGCCAATCTTACGCAGCCGACAGCGAATCTCCCCGAGCCGACAGACCTGATCACGGTCCTGTTTGAATGCGATCAAGCGAATCCCTGGAGGAATCACTACCGAGATCCCGGTTCCGCTCATCCGTCGCTGCCGATCCCTCGTCTCGTGAACAAGTTCAATCCTCCGGCGTCCCCTTGATCGCCGATCTAGCTTCCACTCTTCGCCCACCTCCGTTGATCCCCAATTTCCTACCCGTGACCACGTTTCTTCCTTGTCGATCTCGTAATTTCCTAATTCAGCCACATCTTCTGCTTGTTTGTTCTTTTCGTCGTCATTCCCAAGTGATCTCTCTTCCAACTCTTTTAATCTTTCGTGATCTCTCGCGACGGCATCCATATGCATATATACAACATGAACTCCTGATCTCGGTCTCCTCTGACCGGTATTCCCTCGGGGTCGAGGCGATCAGGTAACCTCACCCCGTCCGCCTTACATCTCCTCATGTGATTGCATCACATTGAAGCTGTTCCGATTGGCCCGTTCTCGCAGGAAGGCGTTCAATATTGCCCCGCAGTTGAGATCGGCCCCGTCGACCCAGGTTGGATCATCATACCCTGCCCAATGAACCAGGAATTCTCGATATATGACCAAATCGCGTCTTCTTTCCACTCCGCACATCAGAGATCCGCTCGACCTCGTATTTATCGGCCCCGAGATCCGGGGCCCAACCGTCCTCCGGAAGCAGGATCTCGTCGAAATCGAGACGATCCGCCTCGTCCACCGTAAGTTCAGCTCGCGGTAGATCTGGAAAATCCTTGACCAATTTCAACTTCGACACGTGTACTACAGGGAAGATCTGGTACCCGGTGCCTGCGATCTCGAGCTCGACGCTGAATTCGTTGATCTTTTCGGCGACTCGGAACGGACCATGCCAAAGGTGAGCCAATTTCCGCGCGTATCCTTCACCCGATCTAGATATAACCAGATGCGGGATCTGGCCTCGATCTGGTGTGATCCGACGTCCTCGTTGTGTCGGTCGGCCCGATCTGCAATGGCCTCCTTCAATCTGGTATTGACTTGTTCTCAGGATTGCTGATAATATCGCTGGACTCGATATCACCACCGACGCGCGTCTCGATCGCGCCGTCTCGTACATCCGACAGGCAGTGTAGCCTCCAATGTCGATCTCGGATCCCACCCATGCACCCAATAGTGAGGGGTATCTCCTCGGATCCGATCGTGAGCTGTGTTGATCGCGAAGGTAAGGCCCTCAGCATATTCGTCCCAATCCTTCTGATCGAGATCACGGACGTACATTTTGAGCGCCCTGGTCGCGGTCTGCACCATTCTCTCAGCGGTCCCGTTGGCTTGTGGCCGATATGCCATCGTCGCCCGCTGCCATTGTCCCAGGATCTTGTTAAACGCCCGGAAGAAATCGGACATGAAGCCGGGTTCTCGATCATGCCGGATCATCTCGCTGGCACCAAATCGCCGAAATACACACTCTTCGTACGATTCCGCAACCGTCTGGGCTGATCGGGACGAGCTGGCTTTCGCGATCACATATCCTGGGAACAGATCGACCCAAATCAATAACTCCGTGTTTCCCTTGTGGGATCTGGGTAGCGACGGTATGTGATCCATCGCAATAATCTGGAACGGGTACGTCGCCTACAAGTTTCCAGGTGATTCACCCCGGATCACCGGTTTTCCTTTTCCTGTCTCGCAATCCACGCATCCCCCCACGTACCTCTGGACGCTCCGGTATAAGCCCCTCCAATGGAAGTGATCCCTGATCCGCTGGTAGGTTCGCCCCACTCCTTGGTGTCCTCCTTCCAACGTGGTGTGATAGTGGTGTAAAACGGCGTTTCGGGGACTACAAATCTCAGCAATCGATCGCGATCGCCCCCGATCTCGGCGTGGGGGGGGTGCAGTAAAAGAGTAGATCCTGCTCGTTTACCTCGTAGTCGGCCGCGATCTTGCCATACGACCTTGCTTCCGCTTGTGTGAGATCTGCGATCGAGCCACTCAGATACTTCTTCATACTGGCGATCCAGACTTCAACCTCCTGGGCCTGCTTAATCCAATCGACCCGGATCTCCCGGATCAGATCCTCTTGCATGACACCCGCCGGCGATCTTGCTCAACCAACTCGGGTGGTCACCGATGCAACTCGCACCACTGGATTCTCGGTCTTGGGGATCAAGATTTCGTCTAATCGGTTCAGGGTAACCAGAACCTGGTACCCGGGCATCTCCTGGACCTCGATCCCACCTTGCCGTTGCAGAGCGGCGCTCGCTAGACTGTCGGCACTTCCGTTCCAGTCCCTCTTGACATGCACCAACTCATGATCACTCCATTTCCTCAGGCGATCGAGGGCCTTCCGCTTCAATAGCGTCAGTCCGGGTGCTTTGCAATCGATCTCACCCCGTACTTGTCGGATCACCAGGTTGGAATCACCGCACAGCACCAGGCGTCTGCGATATAGGTTCTCTAGCATGTCGAGTCCCAGGATCAGGCCGTTATATTCTGCTTCGTTCACGGTGGGGCTCCCGAGATACCCCGATATGGCCTTGACCACCTCCCATCCGGGCAGAAACACACGATCGTGCTGAACGGTCAGTCACCCGCTGACAGTCCCTTAGATATTCGATAAACAGTTTTGGAAGGAAACCCATTAAAGAAACTATACAGTTCTCATTTTACGCTATACAAGCTAGGAACACCTACGCACACGTGCGCGCACGTGTAAGCTAACTAGTGAGCCCTAGGCCCACCGCACCTGGTAGTACTTTGTAGTCCGTCCAACGACCGACTACCTTGTTCGTATGAGTTACGAACACGGGCAAGAGAATCTTCCGATGGACAGATCGTCTGTCGGAAGCCCGAGCACGTCTGCTACGCATGTGGCGCGTACAGACTGCCCCCACCTGGCGGACCCAGAGTGGGAGGCGCTCCAACAACTGTCAACAGTGATTGGAGAGGCGGCCACAGCGACAATGCTGCGCACGCTATCGCCGACAGAGCAACACGAGGTTGCTCTGGGGTTCATCATGAGAGAGCACCACGAGGTTGCTGCCGCGAAGCCAGTGTCTCCGGGGAAGACACCGAGGAAGGAATACCTGAAGTTACGTGTCAGTAACTACATGGG